TAAGGGAGACCCCTGTTAGCCCATAGATTCTGGTTATTGTGGAGAAGCTACCTATGGAGAAGATCTGCCCCCACGGAGGATAAGCATGCATCTTTTCATTAATTTTCTCACAGGAGACTTAGTAAGTGCAGCTCTCCCAGGGAAAGGCTTTTATGATCCCTCTGGGGGATTGGAAACACTTGCCAAATTTCAGAGAAGTACAAGGTCATGCACAGGATGAATCCTTTTTTCTTTAAGGCACTTCTTATTGTGCATTTACTTTTCATTTTTGTTTGTATTAATGTTACTGTTTAATTTGTATGTTGGACTTTAATAGCATCTTAGAGGGGCACTTTCAAATGCTCATGAAATTTGATATTGCTGCTTTCCAAGATCCTTCTGAAAGAAACAAAGAAACTGCATCAGATACCAAAAGCCTTATTAAATGACATTGCCTGCAGTGTTCACAGCTAAGAAATCGAAGCTTTGTAATAGGCTCTGGAAGTAAAACTGTTCAGTTACCAGATGGCTCTTATTTCAAAGAATTCTCCCTAATTCACAAACATCTCAGCTCTGCAAAATCTAACAGATGTGCCTCATTTTGGACATTGCAGTTCTGTACACAGATAGCCCAACTCCAAAACACTGCCTTTTCAAAAGAACATTCTTACACATTTAAAGAGTCCAAGTCATTGTATTGTCTAAGGCTTTCATGGCCAGAATCACTGGCTTGTTGTAGGTTTTTCGGGCTGTATGGCCGTGTTCTAGAAGCATTCTCTCCTAATCAGTATTAAAAAAAACTCTACCAGTATTTATAAAACGCTAAAATTATAACAGTAAATAAAGAACAACAATCAAACACAGGGAAACTCCAGACAAGAAACAATCAGGGACAGCTAATCACCTCTTAACAAAGCATTCCCCCAGGCAGTAACAAGCCACACCTAAAAACTGTCAGGCCATCAAATGCTAATCAAGGTGGCCAATTGAAACATTCACACCTAGCTCCAACAGACAAGAGTTCTTTCTCCTTCCCTGGACTTTCCACAGGTATATAAACCCAATTTTCCTAGTTTCCAACAGACCTCACAACCTCTGAGGATGCCTGCCATAGATGCCGGTGAAACATTAAAATGCCTTCCCAGATTAGGAAATCTCCAATACCAAGTCCCATAAGCACTTTATTAAAACTATGATTGCTGCACACCGCACACTGCACTTGCCCTATAATCCTACATACCTCTTGTCACATCAGCACTTTTAATCCTGTACCCTTTACTCTGGCCCGGCCCAGTTTTATTGTGTCTTAGTGTATTGTTTATTGTTTGTTGTTTATATTGCTTTAATTGTTTTTAATTTGCTTTAGGTTTTGTATTGTTATATTGTGTGTTGGGGCCTTGGCCTTTGTAGGCCGCATCGAGTCCTTCGGGAGATGCTAGCAGGGTACAAATAAAGTTTAATAATAATAATAATAATAATAATAATAATAATAATAATAATAAAATATTAGGAGAGAATGCTTCTAGAACATGGCCATACAGCCCGAAAAACCTACAACAACCCAGTCCAAGTCATGCTCTTGAACAGCTCTATTTTGAGGGCAAAATTTCATAAACAAAAGAAATATACCTGTATGCTCTCATCCTGGTGTCTGCTCAGTTTTCTGCCACCTTAAACCACCATTTCTGAATAACTCAGAGATAGAAAAACTATCCCACTCCCATAACTGTGTAAATATGCTTTATTCTTGAGAGTTTAATATCACTCTGTACTGCATGTGTAGAAGTGAGTTTATACCCATGAAAGCTCATTCTAAAACTGCTACATTATTATTATCTTTCCCCGCTCTGCCTTCCTCCTTTTTCCTCAGGAAAAGCTAGGAAATCTTAAGAGAGAGGAGGGAAAGACTAGGTAAAAGTAGAATATAGAATCAGGTAAACGAAGAAGCAATTAGCATACTCATTTAACTAGAACCAAGCAAGACGTGTAACATGCAGTGTCAGGCCAGGATAATTAAAATGGGTGTCAAGGAAGTACATTTATTTATTTCCAGACAGACTCATTAGTTCTTGTCTGACAGAACATACACACACATCTTTGCGAGTTTTCCTTTTCCACAGCACTGGTATATTCAGATCCAGACAATCACCCACATGCTGCTTTGTCATGGAAAAGCCATAGCCTACATTGTATAAGAATAAAATTTCTATTTCTCATATTGCCTATGAAGTTAATAAGCAAGTGTGAGTGATATTCAGTCAAACCATTTGGTTACAGTTTAAACTAGAGAAGCTACTTAATACAGATTTTATCTTAGTTGGGAGCCAGGAAAGGAAAAAAAGGAAAACCCACCAGATTCTTGCAGTGGACTGTTTGCAAGGAAGCACCAGACAGAGTGATCTATTTACATGAATTAGTTATGGAAGTCTTTTTGTTTACATTCCAGAGCAATTGTTCTTCAAAAATCTTTACTTTTTGTTCTTGCACATCTGACATTGCAAAAATATACCTCAGTGCAGAGAATAACTTCCATTTGGTAAAAAATATGGTGGAATTGACACATAGCAACCCCTCTTCATACCTCCCCCCCCCCCATCGATTTGGGACTTACACTGAACAAGTATGAAATTGTTATTTATTTATTTATTTGTTTGTTTGTTGCCTTCCTATACCACTTTTCTCACCCCTTGGGGGGACTCAAAGTGGTGTACAACATAATAATTGGCAAAAATTCAATGCCTCACATATGAATAAAAACAATACATTACATATCTCAAAACAGTAACATATAACTGCAAGTTAAAATCATTAAAATTTTAATTTGCAAAATGGAATTTATCACTTTATTACTACGATATTTGTATTTATACCCCACTTTTTCCTTTCACGGAGACACTCAATATCTGAAATTTGTAATGAAATGCATTTCACACGTCAAATGGAATTTTCACTTTTAAAAAATATAATATTGCAAATATGCTATGTCTAATGTACATAATGAAAAATTATGGGCAGCCACCCACATTTGCTTAACACATTTGTATTAAGGGCACAGGACGTTCACAAATGTGGAAAAAGCACAAATTTAAAAATATTATCTGAGAGAATATCTCTCTAGGAATCTCTTGATTCGCCATCATGGCTTTAAAGCACGCCTGTATAACTTGTGCCCTGAAGATATTTGGACCTCCAACTCCAGAAATACTAGCCAGCTTGCTCGATGGGCAGGAATTCTGGAAGCTGAAGTCCAAAACACCTGGAGGGTTGCAAGTTTTGCAGGCTTGACCTAAAGTCAACCTCTGGTGGAAGTTGGTCATACAGTCACTATGGGACCTAGAGATTCCTAGAAATAACATTGTAATAAAATCTGCAATTAATCACATCCACAAAAGTCAACCTCACAGATGTAGAGAGCTGACTTTATTTTGTATGGATGTTTGTGCTAAATTATCACTCTGAATAAATTGGGTCAGCAGTCCAGCTAGTGCCACACCAAGAACTTGGAGATCCAAACTAGTCACATCTTTTGTGAAAGGCCATTCTTTGTGCTAGCATTATTCATGACAATAGGATAACCAAACAACTTGGAGGTAGAATATCCAGCCACCATCTTGACCCAACTTGCCAAATATGGAGGTGATCTAATTGTGTGTGTATGTTATATTTAGCTACATCCTTCATGTATTCACTGGTTTGAATTTTCCATTTAGTGAATTAAACGATAAAGCAAGATAGTTTTTAGGTTGTTTTTTCTTAGTGTTTAAAATCTTCAGATATTATCTGTTAGAAACCCAATAATACTTTTTTTTCTCATATGGCATCTAGGGTGGAGTATAGCATAACAACCTGATAGGGTTGTTTGAGGTATGATCTGGGGGAAAAGGAGGAGGAACTCCTCAAATGCATAGAAATATGCATTTTACTTTATTTCAGCATGGTTCAGGTGCAGTAAGATTGTGAAATTAATTGTGGCATGGAGTTAAAACTGATTGTCAGTCCTAACCAGAGTAAATTGAATCAGTAGGACATATGTGAGTGTTGACTTTACAAGTTAAATAGGTCTGCTCTACATTTTATAGTTAGAATGTCTGTGAAGAACAACACAATTCTATTCCTATGCAAAATATTTTGAATGTATGTTGGTATCTCACATCTAGGCATTTCTGGACAAAAGGGATGATCTAGATCAGGTATGAGCAAACTTCAATCCTCCAGGTGTTTTGGACTCCAACTCCCAGAAATCCTAGCCAGCTTACCGATTGGTAGGAATTGTGGGAACTGAAGTCCAAAAACACCTGGAGGATCGAAGGTTGTCCATACCTGATCTAGATCCATTTCAACCTAACTTTGGGATTAATTATGTAACAACAAAGCTTTTTTCATATTTTCTCGGCAGACTGGACCAAGAACTGAACAGAGGGAATTTATTTCTGTTGGTTGTGCTCAACTAAAAATTCTAACTCTTTCTTGTCCTGGTGTTAAGGGATTCTGAATCAGTGTTGTGGCTTGTTTACTATCAAGTCTCTAGCAAGAGTTTTGTTAAAAGCAAGAATTTCCTAGAGTAGCGCTTCTTAAGCTTTGGTGTGGTAGAGCAGTATTTTATTTTCTCTAGAGCATGTGAGACCAGCACCATATTTGTGCTCATTGGCTACAACGAGCAACAATATATTCTTTTTTGGAAACTTGCTAATGGCTGGCACTGGTCCATGGCTGTCACTTTGAATAGCATTATCCTAAATGTTCTCCTCTTTCGTGTACTATAATTTTTTGAGGATCCATAACGTAGTAGTAGTAGTAGTAGTAGTAATAATAATAATAATAATAATAATAATTTATATAATGCCCCACCTCCCCAAAGAGACTCATGTACCAAAATCTCAGGTGCATAAAGTATATGTTGGTAGTTTCAAAAGGTGTAGACCTATGGATGTTGTGTATTTTCTAGTTGAGCACAGGATTTCTCATTGACCTTAGCTTATTATTGCTTCAGCTGACACCAATATTTTACTTTCTCTTCGTAGTTTTAGCAGTGTGCGTCAAGGAACTCATATTTTGTTCCGAGAGTTCAGCTTTGTCCAAGCTACGCCGCATAATCGGGCATCCTTTCTAAGGATCTTCTGGCGATGTTTCAGGACAGTGGGGAAAAATGGAGGTGAGTCTAAAAAGAAAATCTCTTTCCTTCTTTCTTGGTAGACTTCCTGTACTCTTTTAATATGTTGATTAGAAATTAAGACTAGAGCTTTTTTCTTTAATGTTTTTAACTTACTAGCTGAACCTTTTGATCATCTAAACATTATGTGCATGTCTGCTCTCATCTCTTTTGTCCATGGCAGCAAACATTCTTCACTTACGTCTGGTGTTTTATCTTGATTGCAATTTCTTTTTTCACCTAGGAAGACCTTTTCAATTATATTTTCCCCATGGGTTTTTACTGGCTACTCCCTAGCATTTTAGGTAAAACAAGTCCAGTAGCTCCTGTGATGGGGGGTTTCAGGAGGCAAGGTTGCAGATCAAAACCTGTCTTATGCTAGGGAAAATTGGGTGTGGATCGATCTGATTTACAACATGCATAAATAGAAACAGCTCAAACACATATTAAAGCATTAAAATGAAAAGCAGCATTTAGTCAAATTTGTTAATAAACAGCTAGTCTACAATTCTGTGGTTCCTGAGACAGTGTTCCCCTGGGCTGTAGGAGTTCTTGGATCTCGTTTCTTTGAGGGAGAAAGAGAGCTAACTTCACAGCCTTCTCCTATGAAGAATCAGAAAAGTCTTTAATCTATTCTCCTCTATCATTGAGGTTTGTGGGATGTGAGGGCATTTTGGGAGGACCCACAGGATCTCAAACAAACTTCTGTTCTTCAGCTGCATATTCAGTCGGAAAGGAAAACTATGAGCTTGGAGTTTGCTAAGTTTATATCAATGTTTTTAAACTTGAAAAAGCTCCCAGAGCAGGAGGAAAGGAAGACCTTCTCTTCTTACAGGCTGGCATTGAACCTAGCAGGCTATGTATGGGAAATTGCTTTCCCTTAGGACGCAAAGGTAGGATTTGCCCCTAAAAAATCAGAGTTAGAATGTATCTTCGAGAAAGGCAACAGAGGCCTAACTAATCTCCAGGTTCTATAAATATGTTTTAGAATACAACATAATAGACAACCAGATAAAACTATTATGATTACGTGGGCTAAAGATTTAGACAGAAAAAATGATTTGGAAGATTAGAAACATCTTTGGAAAAGGAGTTTACATTTTTAGTGGTAGGCTCAATTAGAGAAAATATGTTTAAAATGTTTTATAGAACTTACATACAGAGTTATTTGCCTAAATAGAGAAAACAGGACAAGGGGCTTGCTGGCGATGTAAGAAGGTGATGGGATCTTTTTTCCACACATGGTGGACCTGTAATGCAGTTCAAGAATTATGTAAAAAAGTGGTGAAACAAACAAACAATATGATCGACAAAAAGGTCAAGAGAACCCCAGAAATGTGCTTATTAGGACTATTCAGAAGGTGTATTAGCGCAGAAGATGAAGAAATTTGTCAATATTGCTTTGTTACTGCGAGACTAATAATAGCTACAATGTGGAAGGGAGAAAAAGAGTGAACTATTAAAGATTGGAGAGATTCATTAGTAGATTATTGTTGGGGTTCAGCCTCTGTGTGAGCCTGACCCTCAGCCTCCGTGTGAACCTGAACCTGATTCTATGATTGTATTTCCTGATGCAACTGAACATGTATTTTTCCCTGATGGTTTGGAAACTGATGATTCTGAGGGCAGTGGCTGGGAAAGTGAAACTAAACATCCTGATGAGGATGTTTCAGAGTCAAGCGGTGATAACACCTGCCTTTTTAATGAGGATAGAAGAAGGCAGATTTGGGAAAACAGGAGTGAATCACAGAGTCTGCGAAGGTCAAGTAGATTAAAGCAGAAGGAGGCTTCCAAGCCTGGAGGCGTGTCCCGAAACAGTTTCTTTAGTTTAAAGTGTCCCCCCCCCCCCAGGCTGTCTTGTTAGATCAAGCATCGTTTTAGACTGAGGCATTACCTTAGCTGAGTTCCTGTTTCCCATGGCCTGCATTCCCAGAGGCTTCTAGTTCCAAGTATGGTAAGTGAGATACTAACAGGTTCCAGGTTTTCTATAGTGTTGCTTTTGGAATTTTGATCTAGTTCAGAGATTTTCTTGACTGCTGAGTTTTACTGTGGCTTTTTGACTTTGCATTTTCCTCTATTTTGTAACCATTTTTTCATCAATAAAAAAGGATTGTTTTTCCCACAGTCAAGTGTGGTGGATTTAATCTTATGGTCTTGTTTCCTGATCTGGGTTGCAACAATTATATCCAAATGGCCAAGCTGACAAATAGCAGCAGAGGAGGAAATAATGAAGAATTTGCAAACAAATTGGGGCTGGCACTTGGGTATCTGGAAAAGAACCTGAATCTTCATCAAACTGTAGTTGTTATCCTGATGGTATATCTGTCATATTTAAGATTTCTACACCTATAGTTCACGTGAGTCCCACCATACTGAATAGGAGTGTACAACAGCAGTTAAGATTGCCGCATCTATTTTAACACACCCCTTCTCCTTCGATGAGAAATGGTATACAGCAAGGATTCAAAAGAAAGAAGATATTATGGGTTTCAAGCAGGGCCCTTTTATTAATAAATAAATATAAAAGAATACATAATAGTTTATCATATAGGCTTTGTATCACTTATCCAGAATTCCAAATTCCAAAATTTCCCAAAATTGAAATGGTCCTCATGTGTGGCTGTGATAGTGACACCATTATTTTCTGGTTGTTCAGTATGCACAAATGTTGTTTCATGCACAACATTCTTAAAGGTATTATGTATAAAATATCTGTATGAAACATGAATGAATGTCATGGTTAGACTTGGGTCGCATCTCCAAGCTATCTCATTATGTACATATATGCAGATATAGGTATTCCAAACTCTGAAAAAAAACAAAAACAAAATCCAAAACAGTTCTGGTCCCAGGCATTTTAGATGAGGGATGCTCAACCTGTATTGTATAAAAATTAATATTTGCACCTCTGTAAAAAAAAATCAAAAATCTAATTTAAAGGAAGGCTTAATTCTCTTCACCCCATTCCAATTCATCTAGCGTAAGCATTACAGACTTCTCCCTCTTCTTTAACCAATTTGTTTTAATTATTGCTCTCTCAATTTTATCTTAGAACCATTGTTGTTCTTTGTCATTACAAGCATGTTTATTTCGAACATACCTCAGTTTATAAAACTCAGAACCAATTTAGAAGCTTTAAAAACGTCAGCATTTGTTTTTCTACAAATGGACATTGGAGTCTGGAATATTCTGCCTGGCGTAGTAGCTTTGGTTTGGGGTAGTTGTGGCTTAGTTTTTGTTAATGGAGTGATAATTCCAGATGTCATGTTGTGTCACAGTCCCAGGAAACATGAGCTTCAGTGATGTAATGCAAAAGTTGAGCCTCAAATTATTCTACTGGTTCAGGTCTGTTTCTTTCAGTCAGATTCTTACAGAATCTGAGCTGGAAGGGACTTGAAACTAACCATGTCTTATGCTTTGACCTGGCAGGTTTATCCACCTCATCAGCATCTGAAGAATTAGCTTGCAGAATTGTTATTAAACTACAAGAGACAGACAAGCTTGAAATAAAGAGATTGTGAGGACCAAATTAAATAACTGCTGTGATTTACAGTGTGCTTTTTAAGGAAAGATAGTCAAATTAGAGAAGTACACTTTGAATTTTTGCTCACTTTCACAGGTTTTTCACCTGTGAGGGAATACAGCTCTAGACCTTTCTAGGTCTTTGATCATGATTGTATGGTCAACTTCTGCTGGAAGCTGTCCATAGTATTGCACTGGAGGATCTAAGATTCAACCTCTTCTAGAGAGAAGTGTTTTCTCTAGAAATGTCTAGGTCCTCCAATATGAACATGACTGGATGAAATTGACCATAGAGTCATTCTGGAGAACCTAGAGATTCCTAGAGAAACTCTGTAAATAATCAATACTGCAAAAGTCAAAATTGCAAATGTGGAGTGATGACTGGATAGCCTCAACTATGGGAAGGGTAAACTGGCAGCGGTGATCAATCTTGAAGTCCTGCACTGATAAAGGAACGATCATGTCTTCAGATGTCTTAATTAATAGGTACTAATTTAGATTCTAACATGCCCTAGGAAGTAAGCAGAAGCAACCAAAGGAGTTTATGATATATACACACATAGAATTATTGATAAACATCAGCCTTTTACCAGTCAAGCCTTTTTTTAAAATGGTCGTTATTGCACAGGTGTCAAATACAGTACTCTTGCAAAAGCCATTGCATAAGTGCTTATACAGCTCAGTATGACTTCATTACATTGGAGATTATTTGTGCTTATTTGCTCCCTTAAGCACTTGTACAACTGTTAGCAGGACAATATGCTTTCTTTTTGCCAGTTAACTTTGGATAAGCATTCCTTGACAGGGTGTGGATGTTAGCTTTTCATAGACCAGTCTCCATCTGCTTGCTATAGTGAAGCAGATAGATTTGAATCTGTGTTCACGTGTAGAATGTCCCTGTATAACAGAAGGAATAGAGCATGTAAAAAAATGTATGAAGAAGTCATTTATCTGCCTGATATTAAAAACTATTATGAAACTCTGATGGTATTGTGACTTGTCTGCCATTTTCAGTTCTTTGTTTGCTTAAAGAGTACCCGAAAGTTGTTTCCACATGCCTGTATATTGCTTAAGAATCATCAGTTGTTATTTTTTTAAATATTTCTTCACATCAAATTAAATGTGTACATTAATTTGGTTGATAATTCGATCTGATGCCATGGTCTCATTTGACAAATTCTATTTGTAGTGGGAAATCTCTGTTGATTTTCACAAATACAAACTCACACTAGATTGTAATGAACACCAGCATAGACAATTGTTTACTAAGAGGTTTGGGAAGTTATAATCCAAAAACAACATTTCCAGCTTTGAAGCTAGGCTCCTCTGAAGGACCGCTTTCACCTGTATGAGCCTGTCCAAATATGAGCATCAATGTGAGGCCGCATTCTGACTAGACATGTTCTTTGTTTGCTTCATAATCTTTTTAGAAATGAAACTTCAGTGGAAGGGGCAAGCTTAATACTATATATATTTACATA